TGTTATTTACGATCTGGTTTTGATTCTTTGATGTTTCTTCGACAAGAAGGGTAAGTGCACTGATAGGTATCGGTCATGGAATTTGGTTCACTTCCTGCTTACGACCGCTACTCAGCGAAGTTTGCGATCCAATGAATGATCACGGTTTCTCTCTGCTTTGATTTCATTCATGGCGAAACCTATCCGACCGCTAACAATCTTTTATTCTCATCTAATGATGTATCGGTAGAGAAAAGGAGCTACATTCATAAAGACATTTGATAATGGCATTATCATGACTCGACAACATTTGTGAGTACTATTCAAGGCTTTGAATGCCAACCAATTACAACTTCAATGGGTCATTATTTCCAACATTAACAGCGACAGGTTGAGACAGTCAGATTCTAATCAAAGGCATGGGCATCGGCGCATTTTAATATCGTTTGCATGCCCTATTGTTCCTCTATCGAACTTCGTTTCGTTCCAGAGAAGGAATGGGCTGTTTGCCGTTTATTACAAACCTGCCATAAGAAAAAGGGAAGCCCGGCGTTAGCCGGACCGTCCGACTGTCTCTATGTATGAAGCGGCAACTTGATGTCTGTTTGTATGCCCCTTTGCGCGTCCTTCCGGAAATCACTTAGGCACGGCGAAGAGGCTGAATGTCAAGTGAGCGCGGTGAGGAAACAGTTACGAGTTGGGAAGTCAACCGATACTGTTCCATTGGTCCTCTAAAAAGTCGTAGGTAAGCGGTAGTGGCCATGTGGTGCACGCATTAGCGTGCATAGCCCAGCTGGTAAATATAAGAATAGCCACGAATAACGACTCCTGATAACAGTCATTTACACTCGACAACATTGGTGAGCTTTTGCAGCTTTTCAAAGCCTCAAATGAGCTTGCGGGTGCTCAGTTATAGAAAGGTCGGTGCGCCAGTAGAACCAATGACGTGCGGGCAACGTGGCAATTTTCGATGAGAAATTTTGCGAAACGAACCTATTCGTTTGTTCCGGAAGTAGGAATGTAGAAACAATTCCGACTTTGTACGAGGGTTGCCTCTTATATTCCGGGATTTGGAAACACTAGTGTAGCAATCTAGCAACTGACAACACTATCGTAAAGTTTGACTATTTTGAGGTTCCGTTGCAAAATTTGAGCTCGATTTGTGTTGTTTACACTAAGTTATGAGATTTTGTTCCGGTCAAGTTAAGGAGTTGAACCGTGGGCATTTTCGCGCGACAACTTTCGACGTGGACTAACTCAACAGCAATGCACGGATGGACTTGGTTCAATTTTTGGGGATGAAGCACCATCCAGGATCAGTGTTTATCGATGGTACAGTGAGTTCACCCGAGGTCGTAGTTCACTCGAAGACGAATTTCGTGGAGGTCGTCCAAAATCAGTTGTCGTTTCGGAGACAATTCATGCTGTGCACAAACTAATACTGCGAGATCGTCATGTAACCTATCGTGAGATTGAGGCAACATTAAGCATTAGTGGGACTAGCTTACATTCATTTTTGCATGAACATTNTTGACCGTAAAAAAATTTGTTGGCGTTGGATCCCACGCCACGACAATGCGAACTCCCACACATCGGCTCAAACAACTGCATTTTCGAGCACTAAAAACAACGATTTGACAGGTCATCAGCCATGTAGCCCAAGAGTGACTTCTTCTCATCCCGTACGTAAAAAATAAAATGAGAAGTCAACGTTTTTCGACATCTGAAGAAGCCGTTGATGCGTTCAGAATGCATATTTTAGAGACCTTGATCAGAGTGGCAAAAGTGCTTCGAAAATTGGTCTGAGCCATGCAAAAGTGTAAAGATCTTAATGTGGAGAATTTTGAAAGGCAGTAAAGCGATTTTCAATAAATAGTATTTGTTCCTGTTCTCAAATCCCGAAATATAAAAGGCAGCCTACGTAACAAGAAGGAGGGAAGCTACGTGTAAGTGGAGCGATTCCACCAATCAGTTATTACAGTTTCCAACACATCGGCAAATGTCTACAATGAAGTGAACCTCTATTCAGTTTGTACATCGAATCGCCAAGGGCATGCCATATTCTATGACCTATCGAATGCATCCCGGTTTGCCAGATAATCCCAAAAATGCTTACAGATCACAAATTGTGACGGCCACCTTCGAGAAAAGTTCTGTTAGATAGTTTACGAAAAGATTTCGCATGCTTGCTTGCATGGATGTACTTGTAAAGGCCTACGTATTCCTCAATGAATCCATTTCACCAGAGCGGTGCTCTATGATACAACTATTCCAGACGGGGGACGAAAATTTCGCCAAATTGGATGGACGCGACAAGACTTGTGGCGTTTAGGACGATCAATTATTGGGGCGAAAACTTGCAGTAGAGTACATTAGTACGGTCAGATGATCGTACTAATCGATTCTACTTCAAACTTGGGCCCCAATGATAGACGCTAAAGTCGTTTGAGTCGCCACGAATTTCGCCGCGCCATTTGTCCATGCGGTTTCGGGTTAATGAGCCCGTACCTATTCCAGACTGCTGCCTCAACTTAGGTCCGAAAAACAACTTCTTAACCATGACCCTGCCCATGAAGATAGAGATGTAACAGGATGTAAATCTGTCAGCGTGATGTTTGACGCATTGCAATTGAATGTAGTATATGGGACCCGTTTCTGTCCACTTATGTCCAAAGCGAACACCCCCAAAAAATAGAATTTATTGCAATAGAACAATAAAACACGAACAAAAAAAGCACACAATTGGCGAATGGGCGAGGCGACCGGCGTCGGGGGTCTGGGGTCTGGCGATGACGAGAGGGCGACCACCTAAGAAGAAACGCTTGCCTTTTATAGTGAACTCCTGACCCTCTTGATCTCCGGCGGGAAACCCTCGCGGTCCCTCGCCTGTGATCTTGTGATCCACATCCTCCCCTCTCGAAGAACCGGCGCCCTCGTCACGCTACTCCGAGTAGATTCAGCTCTGGCAGTTTTGCTTCCTTCAGGCAATTCCTGATGCACTCGTATAACGCTTTTGCGCTTCCCACACCTAGATATTTCTCCTAGAAGTTCAAGCACCCTTCCGGTGCGCCGGCCTCAATGAATACTTTGTCACCCTCAATTTGTGGCTGGCCGTTGTCATGAATTGGGATGGTCCCGCTTTCTTTTGTAGTGCGCCTTCGATCGTTTGCCACAATTCCGTAAGTGAGTAGCTTGATTTGATTCTATTAGAGGAGGAAATACGGACACTATGCGCCCGCCTTGTTCGAGCTGCTGATGACATCTGCGCAGAGTTTCACATATCTGCGCATCCGTGAAGTGCGTGTCCAGTGGCCAAACGATAATACACGCCGAACATTCCTTTAGTTCATCTAGGACGTCCCCCAGGTTTCCGAATGACGTAGCAGCCTTTGTTACAATTCCACAACGTGAGCCGTCCCGTTCCAGTAATAGGGCATTTTCTGGCGCCGCAAATCCTGCTCAGACCCTGCTTTGTGGACCGCCAGTTTTTCTCTTGTTCATCCATGTCGCGTTTCAAACTTTTTAACGCTTCATCATGAGTCCTGTCAAAGGGGTAGTCATCGATCCTCTCGTGTTTCGATATTCCATCTGGCACATATAGAAATTCGGTCCAGTCTTTACAGCGATCATATGCCAGCCGTAAAACTCTCTGCAAGGCTTCGGCATCCAGGCAAATTGCTCCTTTTTTCCATGCTTTGATCTTTTAGCCGTGTTCATGTCGTTCCTAATAAAAACGCTGGCGGCGACCCATGCACGCCAGAGTGAGCCTAATGGTTCCATCGCGAATGCTCCTGGAAATATGATGTCCTTCAGATCTCCGAAGCATGCTTCTTCCAGGCATCCGTCCTTGCATTCATACTGTAAATGTCTTTGGCATTGTCTTCACTCGATTACTGCACCTCTGCAATAAGAACATTCTTGTTTACTCACCTTCACTTTTGGCTTCCTGCCTCTTTTTCCTCTGTGAGTAATTCTGTCGATTCACTCGTCAGATTTTTGGTTTGGCACTATTCTTAGCATATCGTATTGAGCCTTTATGTTTCCGTGTTTTCCCTATTCGCGTAATAATTGCGGAGTTATCTCTCGCTTCAATCACCCGAAAGGGTCCAGCCCACTCGTATGCTAACTTGGGGTGCGAACTTAACGCCTTCTCTCTGGATGAGAGTAAATACACTCTATCTCCTAACTTTGTGAGCCTTTCTCGGTCTACTTTGTTTCTATTGTCATACGCCTTTTTCATGGTTTCCCTCACCGATCATTATGCTCTCGCACTGTTTCGTGAGTTTCTGCTATGCGTTGTATCAAACCTACATTGCAATCGTCCACCGCTTTATCTAACGCATACCACGATATTTCATTACTCGGTATAGTTCCTAACGGGAAGTAAGGGTCCATTCCATGCAGTAAAAAATAGGGACTCTCCTCTGTTGATCTATGAGTGTTCATATTGTATGCAAGCATACAGAAAGGTAGTCTCGTGTCCCACTCAGTTGGTACCGCGGTTGACCTCCTCTTCATTGCGACAATGGTCCCATTCAACCTTTCTGTAGTACCATTGTCGCGTGGACTGTAGCCTTTGGTCGTAATGAGCTGAACCTTAATAAGTTTCGTCAACTCTTCCATTACTCTGTTTTCAAACTCGCCTCCTTCATCACATAATATTACCTTGGGCCATCTATAGCCATCAACTATCCAACGCTCAAAAATTACATTCGCCACCGTTTCGGCTGATTTGTCTACTGTCGGATATGCCTATACAAATTTTGAGAAGTGATCAATCACTGTGACCGCGTATTCATTCCCTTTTGAGGTCGGTCTTAATTCTAGCACGTCCACGCCTATCAATTCATACGGTTACTGACACTCCTTTGTCCATCTACTTACGTCTTGCGTCATAATTGGCCAAAACACTTCCTTGCGCATTTTCTTTAGCATCTTGAATGCGCTAAAATGGCCTGCTAATTCACCCGCATGGGCTTCATGGAAAACCTCGTATCTTGCGCTTTTCGGGATCACACATACTAAGACGCCCTCTTCAGTATACATTTTAAGATTTCCGTTTTCCATAACAAAGTCTGCGACTCGTATCCAGTTATTGTGCCATGCATTCTCAACGTCCTATTCGAGCCATCCTTCCTTAGCGCATCCAGTACTAGCAAAAAATCTTCGTCTTTCTCCAATTGTTCCAACCATTTTGTCTTTTTGCCTACCACTAATACATTCACGACCGCCTCATTAAATACCTGCAAAGGTTCTGTCTCCCCTTCCACTCGTATGCCTCTGCTCAGCGCGTCAGCTACCACATTTGCCTGTCCTTTGACGTATTTGAACTCCAGTTTATATCGTTGCACTTCGAGCACCATCTGAGTACTCGTGCAGAGACGTTGCTCCGCTTAAACAAACAGTCAGTGGTTGATGGTCCGTCATGACTGTCGTGGGCACGCCATAAATAAACATATGGAATCGTTTTATTGCAAACATGGCAGCCAAGGCCTCCAGATCGGTCACGTGGTACCGTTTTTCAGCTTCACATAAGGCCTTCGATGNCCGCTTAAACAAACAGTCAGTGGTTGATGGTCCGTCATGACTGTCGTGGGCACGCCATAAATAAACATATGGAATCGTTTTATTGCAAACATGACAGCTGAGGCCTCCAGATCGGTCATGTGGTACCGTTTTTCAGCTTTACTTAAGGCCTTCGATGCAAAATAGATAGGATGCAGCAGGTATTTGTCTCCGTCCTCTTGCGCTAGGACTGCTCCCAGCCCTGTTGTTGATGCATCCGTGTGAATAACAAAGGGTTTTTCACCATTCCCTGCTTTTTCCATGTCGGGCTGTTTCAGTACCAGTGCAGAACAAATGAACTGTCCCACCTTTTCAAATGCCTCATCGCACTCTGACATCCAATTCCATGCTCGCTTTGATGAGGTCAATTCTAACGGTGGACTGGCTGTCTTTGCGAAGTTCAAGCAGAGTTTCCATGAAAAGTTGCCATTCTTAGGAACGTTCTCAACTCTCTCACGTCTTTGGGGACAGGGTAATTCTTTACAGTTTCAGTCTTGCGTGGATTTGTATGGATACCAGCTCCGTCGACTACATGCCCAAGGAAAACTACTTTCGTTTCCATCAACACGCACATTTCTGCCTTCAGCCGGAGTCCTGCTTCTGTCAACCTCGTAAACACTGGTCTCGAAAGCTACACATGCCTTTCTCTCACTCTAGTACAAATCATTATATCATCGATATAACAGAACACTTCATTACCCATCATATCCTTTAGGACTGTGTCCATCATTCTTTGAAATATCGCAGGCGAGTACCAAGGCCAAATGGCGTAACCCTGAATTGAAACAGGCCTTCTGTCGTTGCGAATGCCGTCTTTTCCTTGCCTACTTGTAAGCGGAATCTACCAATATCCGCTATAAACGTCCAGAGTCGAGAAATACCTTTTACCGGCCATGCTCTGTAGCATAGCTGTCGTCGGCACCGGGTACGCGTCTTGATGGATGCCCTTGTTTAACTCGCGATAATCAACGCAGAGTCTTAGGCTGCCGTCCTTCTTCTCACCAAAACTATGGGAAAAGCCCATGCCGACGCACTTTTCCCGATAATTTTCCTAGATACGAGATCATTCAGCATTTCCTTCAACTTAGCTCGAGCTCTTAGCAACTTGGAGTGACAGGTCTAGTTTTCAACTTAATGGGTGAGTGACCCTCTGTGCCTACATCCATTTCCACTTCGCTAGTGGCTGAAAGTTCCTGGTCACACACCGCGAATGCTTCCCGTTTCTCTTCCAGCAGTATCCGGATATCCTCAGGGATTTCTTTGGAGGACCCGTTTTGGGGAATTCGCTCTAACACTTTCTGTTTTCTGGATATTGGTTCTAATGTGGCCCCTCTTTCTTCCAGCAGCGCTGGCTTTAGCTCATCCCAGCCTTCTCTCCACTTCTCAGTACTCCAGCGCCCAATCTCATCACCTTCTCTCCACATCATTGGTTCGCTTCTTTCGTTTATTACCGGAACCGCACATTAATATTTCTCTATTTCAAACACCCTGCCGCCATACCATTCGAAATTGGCCGTATAATGCGTTCATCAGAACTTTCGTCAATACCACAACGTGTTTCTACCAAGGCCGAGCTGCATGGCGGTATGTACAATACTCGCCGTAAGAACTCAAAAATCTACGATAATACCGCGAGTTCGCGTCTTTTTCGTCTTTTCTTTATGAATCGCTTTACAATAAAGTAATCAAGGAGAAAAAATACCGCTGAACTCAGCTCATCAAGCTCTACAAGGATGCCCTAAAATGTTAAAAATTCTCAGTTTGGGTTGCGCCGTGCACTTGAGCTTCATCCCAAAAGTGATTGCATGCACATGGGGTGCACGCTTTAGTGCTTGTAGGGGCTCATTGGTCCCTGAAGATGATCTGTTCAGAATTTGCTTTGGATTGCGCCACGTACTCGACTTTACTCAGTACAATGTGGAAATGATTGTTGGTTTTGTTCAGCTTCCATCGTTTCTTTTTGAGTTGGAGGCTGGAGATGACTGCATCTACGGTCTCTGCACTCAACATTCCTCTTTACAGGTTCCATTGAAAAAATGACATCAATTTATGGCTAAATAACGGAGTCGATTTCTCGGCATTTTCCCGTTTTTGGAGGAATTTTTCTACGGAATCTGNATCATAGATCAAAATTTCCCCCTTGGTACGGCCCCAAACTTCGAACTTCGTCAAGCTCAAATCATAAAACAATGTTTTTTGCCTTGCCGTTGGCCTTTTTGTAGCTGCTTTGTACACTGTTAGATACACTTGATTAGGCGCGAAGACTCCGCGGTAATTACGCTGTCCGCAATCGCTTCTAATCGAGTTAAAACTTCTCAACTAAAGAGGATAATGACAGTTCAAAAAATGGAGTTTCTCTTTAAAAAATGAGTTTTTTGAAAGGAAAAATTCCAACATCAATTTCAACGATTTGAGAGTTCTATTTACACGCAAAGTGAATAAGTTCAATATATTTCATTTCAAGCTCCTGGAAAATGGGTAACACAGTTTAACTCACTTTTTTCCGGTATTTTCGCTTATTTGCGATGTCGAACAACCTCTAGAGAATCGATGTAGTTCTCTAGAGTTGTTTAATATTGGGACTACTCTTCATTGAGAGGTCATTGAATGCCCTACGGCTCACCATGCTGGAATCCAGAAGGAGCCAGAGCCTTGCGGAGGAATTGCCAGCAGAGGAAAGAAAAGATCTGCGAGGAAATGGAAAGGTGTGTTATTTTGAAAAGTTTCCTCCTGTTTCGACCGTATGCAATATTTCACATGTTTCTAGGTTTGATGAACTTTAACAGCAAGGAGCAAGCCGCCAGCAAATACAAGAATTTTGTATAAAGATGTCCAGATTTGTAACAAACAAAATTGTCTGAGTTTTTTTTTTACTTATAAATTCTTATAACTATTGAATTGAACCGTTTTCTTCCATATCACACAAACTTTATTCACAAAATATACTGATTTCATTTATTAAACATGTAAATAAAACTCTCAAAACCGTTGAAATTGATATTGGAACTTTTCCTTTAAAAAAAAGAACGTTTTTCAACAGAATCCCCATGTTTTTAAACTGTCATTATCCTCCTTAGCTGACAAGTTTTAACACTCGATTAGTAGCGAGTGCGGGAAGCGTAATTACCGCGGAGTCTTCGTACCTAATTAAGGTCACTTCGCCCCAGGTGCGAGGCGAGCTTGATTAGGTGCGTTCAAAAATTTACTCCCGTACCCGCGTGGACCCAGAGCGTTCAAAATTTGTAGGAATAAGGGGGCAGGATGGGAACACCTTTGGTAAGTGGCAGGACCGGACTCCGTTCATAAGGGGCGAGGCGTGCACGACAAAAATTTTAGGTCGCAAATTCATAACTTCTGTCCCCGTGGACCTAAAGTGCTCAAACTTGGTACAAGCGAGTACAAGCGGAGGGATGGGAATACTTATTTTGGGTGCAAGGACCAGACCCCGTTCATAGGAGGCGAGGTTTATACCAAAATTTTCAGTTTGACTGAAGGGCCTTCAAACTTGGTAGGAGACAGGCGGCAGTACGGGAACACTTATGTTGAGTAGTACGGCCGGACTCCGCCCTCAGAAGACGGGGTTCCCGCGAAATAAATGGGTGGAAATCCATAACTCCTGATCCCGTGGACTTTTAGAACAAAATCAATAGGAGGAAGCAGGATGGGAACACTGACAGTAAAAGAGGCCTTAGAGAAGAAGATCCACTCACCAATTACTTCCTAGCGCCTTTGTTATTTACGATCTAGCTTTGACTTTTCATATGTTTCATTCGACAAAAAGGGTGAATCGACAGTGAAGAGAATAAGAAGAATCTCTTTCTTATTCTCTTCACTCAACAATTCTTCGCTTTGGTTCATTTTACCTTCATTCTTTTTCCTTTTCCTGGATTTGTTAACTTACAACTGTTTTATTTGCCGTTCATTATAGCTATCAGTTATTGCTTTAATTATTTTCTTCTGAGCCTCGAAGTCAGTCCTGCCTTGTCTGGTGTAGCTGGCGCGTCATAGAACGCATAAATAAATAAAAAAATAAATAAGGGTAAGTTGTGTGATAATAAGGAGATGAATTTGGTTCTTTTCTTGCTATTAGATTACGACCGCTACCTAGCAGAGTTTGTGATTAAGTGAAAGACCACGGTTTCTCTTTGCTTTGATATCATTCTTAGCAAATCTTATCCGACCGCGGATGATGTTGGATTCACATTTAATGATGTATCCGTAGAGAAAAGGAGATACATCTTTGAAGTATTTGATAGTCTACAGGGTGGGCCAAAACTATGATTACAGCGCGCGCTGATGTTCATTGCAAATTTTTTCTATGTTCATAACAATTCATTGAATTTCTTCTATTTCACAAAGTAGCTTACGTTATTACCTTCCTG